TTTCATAACATGTGTGAAAACTCTTGACTACCTGAGCGACCCTTAGCTCTACTGAATTGTTTCATTGGTTTCGCAGATATTTATTGCTTTGTAATTATTTTCTACCTTCAGTTTTTGTTAGGTATTCGTCAAAAAGAAATTGGGAAATCCGATTGTGTTTCTCAAGTCAGAAATGTGTAACATTCATTCTTATCATTATGTAATTTCTGTACGGCAGTTAAGAATTCTGCTACATTTTGTGGTGTTCATTGGAAAACTTATAATTTTGCTTTCAAGTCGTTTTCAGCGCTTTGAAGCGACTGGTCTGAATTCCACTTTAGTTTAAAATTTACCACTACCGAGTAAGAATAGAAATAAAAGGACGTAGGAAATTCTCTTAATGGAAACTAAATATTCGGAGTTTTAGGTTTAAAAAATATAAATATTATGGCTTCAGAATTAGATTTAATTTCCTGGGTTTTACTGGCTTAAACACTATAAGCTGTCCGGTTAGACTGCCTATTGATATAATTATAGCGCCTATAGGCCTATATGTGCGTAAATTTTTTTCGAACAACTGAAAGACTAAACCTAAATGTAGGTGGATAAATACGATTAAAATGAATCTTACAGAAATAGGCAATGAGGTAGTGGACTGGTTTGATGTAATATAGGATAGAGGTCAGTGTACGAAAAATACAGCAACGAACATTCGGTTTTTTATTTGGCACAGGACTTTTTGACAAGCTAAACAAATATTAAGTTATCAGGGACAATGTTTTGCGAAGTTTAGAGGCCTATGGCAACCATGATTTTAACAGTAAGCAAATTTTGTTTCAAACAAAGTGGTTTAAGCTGATTTTATCTATCCGTTCAAAAACATTTCATGTTCATGTTTTGTTATTCCTAAGCAGCAACACTGTTAAGCACAGTGCACTTCAGACCTGTTTGCTTTATGGCTTTTTAATATTCTTACGAAGGCCCAAGTCCGTTCGGATAGGAAAACGTCACATAATATTTGTATAAGGGCCTTTTTGAATGTTGGCAAATAAGCTGTTTGTTTTTCGTTTAATCCTCGGTAAGCCTATGCGAAAATCCTCTCGCACTTGTGACATTAAAAAAGTTCCTGGCGAAACAGAGCAACGTCTAGCTCTTTTTTTGTTTTACAAACGGCTGGAAATTAAGAGAAGGAAAAAGAAACGACTTTTATGTGGGTATTTAAAACAATTTATTATAGAAGAAACAGCAGAGAACTAGCCGTGGTAAAAAATATAAAATATTTGCCACGATAATAAATAGACAATTCCTGCGGTTTTAAAATGCATGTCCCTTTGCTAGAAATAAAATCTCATTTAGGAAGTGTAATTCCACGAATATATACCAGAGTTTAAAAGCAGGTGGAAAAATTGAACTTTCAGTCTGTAGTAATAGAAACTCCCGTTTTTGAAAGAGTGAAGAAATTTTATGGAACACAGGCGCTAGAAATGTCATAGGTCTAATGAAAATCATATGGTAAATTACGTAATAAATGATGAGTGTATGAATATACTAAATGTAGTGACGGACACTCGTAATATTGTAGGCTTTGTATTTATTTCCGTTCTGCCTTGCTTTAAGTAGTTTACGACTGCGTTTTCAAAGCTTTTAATAATTTGCGATTCACAATAAAATAATCTTCAACTCATTTTCTGTATACTGCTTCATGCGATGACAATCTTAATCCGACATAAGAAACAAGTTCAAATAGTTCCACTTCCTTGTAACAAACTAAAATAGTAACTTCATTTTTATCATCACATTCCGTTATATGCTGATTCTGGAGTACAGTAAGAACTTAGAATGAAAGTTGGTGTAATGCGTATAAAGGCAATGAGTAAGAATGGGGCACTCAGATCTTATAGCTCTTCATGTAAATACTGTGGAACTGTAAGACAATTTCTAGCCAAACCTTTTTATTCAGCTTGTCAGAATATATTAATATGTTCCGTCCGCTGGAATGGTTTGCGTGTCATCAGGAGTAAGTAAGTCTTAATGTCCATCCGCGTGTTAATTTTGTGTAAATAATATTTATTCATTTGTTTCTTATGGTCATTTGTAATATTTTAATTTCACCTTTTTGTTGTTTGAAAATGACTTGCTTTAACTATCATTTTCCAACGCAATCCTTTAACTTTTCACTGCATTTCATATTGTAGGTGTACACTGATAATAAACTTACATATTTTATGACGTCATGCGATAATGCTAATTTATTGATCGATTACTGTTTTCCTTTAAGATGCTTCTAAAGGTTCGTTATACTCCGTCGAATGGTAGGATGATTATTAATTATGATTCGAAGATATGAAAGGAAGCGGCCCTGGCCTACTTAAAGTAATATCTTGCGCTTCTATTAGCGACATCGGATGTAGAATAGCGAAGTAAGAGTTTTCAAGGTGACTGTATTATTAATTATAGTTATTTGGAATTTTTATAGAGTTTTATGAGTGAAAACGTTCGAGTATTTGGCCTGAAGGCAGGTTTATTTTAACCTATGTTGGCCTAATAAATATCTAATGAATTTACATAAGCGTTAAATCTGCCTGGGAGGAAGCTGACGATCATAGACCACCGCGCAGATGCCAAGTCATATCACAGCCCCCAAAATAGGCCCGTCCGTATCCGCGTGAAAGCTGGAGCAGTGCATCATCATTACGCCAGCCCCCGACCTACCCTTTGGGTGAGAGACGGGAGTGGGGAGACAGATGTACTGCACGATATAGAAGCATCTGTACACCCTGCCTTGGAACGAGGGTGGCCACCACTCAAGCAGAAAATATCCCTTCAAAGTATTCATATCTTCTTTACCAAAGAAATTGCAGTGAAATTGGTCGCACGCAGTGTCTCTGGTACGAAAAGGGCAAGAATTACTTACGTTCCCTGATAAATCTTGAAGTAAAAATAAGGAGCGTCTTTAAACTAGTATCATTGAAGGAATTCGGTTATGTTATAATGAACTGTGTACTTCGTTTAGGCAGTGAGTGTGTGGTATTACGATTGGCTGTCGATGAAGCTTGTAAGAGGTTGGGGGTTTAAGGCGGCGCGGAATTTCCTATCTACTAAAAATAAGTAAACGTTAATATAAGCACGGGAATGTAATAATATTTATTTTCTGGACCGTGTCAGGAGCTCACAATATGATTGGTTTATTAATGAATAATTAACTGAAAAGGATATGGAAGGAAGGGTGGCTTAAGGTATTATCCCGGGATTTTACTTGGTTTTCTTCTGTCCCTCCGGGAGAATGCTGATATTACCTTAAATTAGGCTACTACTGTTTCTGTCTACGCCATTTTCATTCGTTAGTATTCGAAATCAAATAGCCTGAACTGCTAACAGCGCTGTTAAATAAATATAAATCCTTAATAAATGAATATATGTTCGTAGCGAAGAATTCTAGTAGTAACATCCCCGTTCTTCCATCACACTCGAGGATTATGGGTTTTCCCACTAGGTCGGTAGACTACCCGGTTTTTGCTCTGCAGCAACTGAGGTCTTGTACCACGTCAGCGGAGTTTGAACTTGTGGCAATGGTAAAACACCGGGAACTAAGAGAATCCACCAAAACTTTCCAAAAACCAGGATGTCAGAAACAGAATAAAGAAGTTTAATAAATACTAACTCCTGTGGCATCCTGTACCTGGAGTGGAGTCCTCGGGGAAATATGTCCATGCTCCAGTATTCAGTACGTCGTACTGCGGCCGAGGGAGAGGCAGTTCGGGCAATGGCTGTGATGAACTCAGCTTGTCGTACCTCACCCCTCTCCTTTGGGCCTTGCCGGGTCCCAGGACGATCCCTTGACAACTCTCACTTCGCTACTATACATCCGACTTTGCTAATTGAAACTCATGATCACTGCCAAAACTCAAGCAGGGATGCAAATGCTGTGTTACCAAATGGGCAATGCACTTTGTCTTATCATTTCTCCCTCTTCGCCTGAAACCGTCTCTTCTGGTGACATAAGTTTAATACACAGTGTAATTCAGTCAATAAAGTCTATTTTAACACCTAATCGGAATTGTAGCTCACATGAAAGGAAGTACACGATGCTCCATCTAAAATGCAACACCTAAATCGATGACAGTATTGAATTGTTTCAGCCGATACATAACCTCAAATCGACACGGCCATAATTTCAACCGTCGCTCGATGAACATTTGTCACAGATTCACACTTCCTGCGTCCCTAAATTTCATTATCATTCGATGTATCGGTATCTTGTTTGTCCTCTCGTGTCAGGACACAAACTGCTGATTGCTTCACGGACAGAAAACGATGTCGATACGAAGTAATGTTCGAGAATGAGCACATAGTCTGCTCGGGAATATACCATGTTCGCACGTGTTCAGCTTTACGCCAGTAGTTTGAGCAGCGGCCTAGCAAACGAGGTGGCCTTGACTCCAGAGTTACATGGGAGGCAGGGGGAGATCATTACACTTAGTGTGACTGCTTATGATTTCATTTTTGTAACGTTGCGAATGTCTGTTATTAGGGTTTGTTATAAACCGCAACGAACCAGCGTGGGTCCAACAAAGGCACTCAGTTTCATTAATCTAGTGCGAGAGAAATGTTACATAAAACGTGGTTAATTATAACGTCGTTGCCTGCGGTTTCATCCTGCTTGTATGACAAGTGTAGCACGATACATCAAATGTCAGAATTTCCTATCAGTTTCATACTGCCTGGGAAAATATATTCATCAGATTGTAACGTGAACTTTTAATTAATCACGCGTTTAAAGCATTCAAAATTGTGGTTTTTTGAGTCTGACTTTTTGTTGCTAGGGATATTTATCGATAGCAGGAAACATGACAGGTTATCTTCAATATAATGAAGATTTAATGTTGTATGTAACTTTTATGACATTTAAAATCTTATATACAGGTGTAGTCAACAGCATTTCATTCTGTTTCTGGCACGTGATTCAAGATTTGTAGCTCGAACCATTTAAAGTTGATTTTGTGATGTCCTGTTTCTTTCAGAGAGCATAGTGAGTTATTCAGCGCCTCGGGGGGATGTGGATTCTGCCCTAGAGGACCTGAGTTATGACGGAATTCTAGACGGCAGGCAAATGCATGGCGGCCTAGGACAACTTGTGGATGGCTTGTTCGGTGACGACCACTTGCAGGATGACACGCCAGGTGGGTTGTCTTCAGTCTCTGTTGACTCAAGCTTACCACTTTTGTGGTTAAAAATTTGTCTTCAGGGATGTTGCACCGTGTAATATGGTAGATATTGACCAACGCTTCAGAGATGCTGATACCTTCATCAGGGCGGCCATCTTTATATCCGTCACTGTGAGAACGTAACATCTCGCGAAAGATATTGTAATTGCAATTTACCCTAATAGAGTGAAAGGCTGGAACCAAAAATGAAGAAACTAACACGAAGCTAGAGAAAATTTCATAAATTTTACTCTTCGTAATTTGTATTGTGTACCAAATACGAATCGTATTCTTAGTCTAATAGTCTATAGAGGAGAATGTTAAAGGCAGAGCATGTAGCACACATTGGAGAGATGAGAAATGCTTATAAAATTTTGATCGAAAATTATGACGGTAAGAGACTGTTGGGAACGCAGGTGTTGGCGGGAGGATAATATTAAAATGATTCTGAGACAAACGGGGGTGGCGATGTGGACTGAGTTTATGATACCGTTACACTTTCTAATTATATTTGTATGTGAACACATCACAATATGGCGTATGTTTTTATAACGTATGAAATCGTTATGCGGTATACGTGATTGAGTTCACACTTTTTACATGTCGTTGTAATTAATTTTTAAATGAAGAGAATGCAGATGAAATGTTACTTTCATTTTTGTGTTTGGTGATAAGAACGTGGATTTAATCAACGTATTGTATATCACTATTCATGGCCAGTTTCTATTTGAAGTTTGGACAGACACACCTTCAATCATGATTCATCTCTGAATGCCAAATTAGGTGTATTACTAGCCAGATCATACTGACGGATGGGCTGACTGGAATGAGGCATAGCTGCATCTATGTGATGCATCATGTGACAGTTATTTGGTGTAAGATGGGTGCTACAGTGGCTTTTGATCCCGTACGAAGGCAACAAGTCGAATACTTGAGTCTAACAGAAATTACCTTGTACTCGTCACCAGATATTTTTTTGTTATAAAATTAGCGATACATTTGGGGCTTGTAGATAACCAAAAGTACTTTCTTAGAACCTGTACCAGGACATTTGCTTATTGGTGTTTGTCGTAATTTCAGGCTCTAAACGTAGTGGATGAATTGCTTTCTCGTTATGTAAGGGATACATAGAGAAATTAATGCCATTAAGATTATGGATTAAATATTTCTCATAGTCCAGTCTATGGGGATTAATCATGGATGCCATAACACACTGAGTTAATTGTCCTATGTTCAATACCAGTCAGTCAGTGATGGCCTACGTCCGGGGTTCGATTTTAGACAGGGGCAGGAATTATTTTCGCCACCAGGTTTATACCGCCTCTGTGGACAAGGTAGAAGTAACTCTTTCCTCCTTGGGTACACTGGTATGTATTCTTCCGCGAAAGCAATCACTCATATTCATGTACTATCAAGGTTACGAATTCATGGACTTGTACCTCCATTCCAAATACGTTTTCGTGGCGCTGTACAAGTCAGAATATTTGTGAATATTATATACTAGTCGAGGGCATGATGTCAGAAGCCCGCATCTACATATTTTGCGTAATCGGAGATACTTGATTAAATAGCTTCGATGTATGGCATACCAGAATAGGATAAAACTGATGCTGCTGTATATTTTGGCGTATAAAGACTAATAATAGTTATTTGTAAATCAGCTATTTTGTTGATATACGCCCTTCTGGCATTGTGCCTTAGAGTTTTGAATTATCGTGAAAGATGTAGCCTGAAAGATGGCGGCTTGTCTGTGCGGCAGATAATTTTCTTTTCTTTTCTTGTTACGTGACAGATGGAGATGGTTTAATTCTTTTGTGGACACAGATTTGGCAGTAAACCTTTGTTCCGTTCACGGGTTACACGATTCCTTTGAGAGAACTTTCCGATAACGCGAGGCTTTACGTGTACGACCGCGCTAGTACTGGGATATCAGCAGATCATGAGAGAGAGAAGATAGCGTCTTACGCCACTGTTGCACGACGGTGTGGTAGGCACGTACAGCGATCGCTCATAGTGGCGACCGGCCACATACCCAGGCCTGCCTCGCGAAGATAACGCACGCCGCTGTCGACACTCCTGAAGTCGAAAAACAAATATAATGCCGGTCCACGTTTCATTCAGCCATTGTTTCGTCATAAATTATTTTTTAACATCTCTTCAGCAAAAAGTTTTTATGTGAGAAACTTCTGGTGATAGTGGTTGTATGGCGAACATTGTTTTTAATTAAAAATTATTTGCATGCAAATTAGACAACACGCCCTGTCACTCTGATTCTCTTCTTCCGGCCCCCTTCGCTTGTTCTTGGTTATGAGAATCGTTTTCAGGACACTTTTATTATATAATTTATATCTGCATTTCGGTTTCTAGTTTTGATTGTGAAAAGACGTTCTTGAACAGTCTCATTCAAATCAGGACGACATTTATGTACAGAATATCGTAAGATAGTGTAATTACGTCATATTTTGAATATTATATCAATTATTTATTTTTAATCCGTCTGATCACAATATAATTATTATTTAAAATTTCTTATAATTAAGATAATAAAATATCATTCATGTTCCTTATCGATTGATCGATTTACATTTCGGAACATTTACACAACATGTTTCAGTTTTTATAAAACCATCATCAGGTGTAAAATATATCTAAGAACTTAAAACTCAATTATGATTTCTGTAGTTTTTTGGTGATGTTTCATTATATTTGTTTTTCCATTTTGGGCGAAGGTGTTGTTTTTCTTAAATGTTATTAGATGTACATATCGGCCAAAGATGTAGGAGTGAGTGTCCCGATATGTCCAGAAGTACTATGGTTTTATAAAAACTGAAACATGTTGTGTAAATGTTCCGAAATGTAAATCGATCAATCGATAAGGAACATGAATGATATTTTATTATCTTAATTATAAGAAATTTTAAATGAAATTATATTGTGATCAGACGGATTAAAAATAAATAATTGACAGAATATCGACAAATAACCAACAAACAAATTAGTGCGTGAGGAAAAATGGTGCAGAATTACTTACAACTCAATTACGCCTAAGCGACATTAGAATCAGCTGAGATATTTAGAAGAGAATAAGAAATATTAACGTAATTATTAAATAACTATTTTAATGGCGAACGAGAAGCTAATATTCACTCAGATAATTAAGAAATTACGCACATTTTGTCGAATATTATTTAACCTGTTAACAAGATCTCGCTACTGATCACTGTCTTGGTTTTGAGCGAGATGAAACCAGCATAAAATCCATTCCCTTAGAATCCATTTTAATGTTATCCGACTATACGCCTAAGTATTCGATGTTATCTCTCCCTTTCTTATTTTATAAATAAAATTTATGCATTTCTTGTCTTCTCATTACGTGCTACGTCTGAGAAGCCGTAGTTTTAATATCATTATAATTTTTTTTACGGCTGAACTATTTCGAACATAGATTTGTATTAAAATGTATCTTTCGATAATCAGAATTTAAAATGGCTGTGTTTAATTCACATTGTATGGGATAACACGTAAAAATATCAAATGAACTTTGTTAGTTAGGTTAGATTAGACGAGATTACATTAGTATGGCTTATTTTTGTTTAATTTAATTTATCATTAACTTTATATTTATCATTATCTCTACCCTTCACTTGTATTTTTCATTATCACTATTATTATACGTGAATATGTCGATAATAGTATGTATTCATGAAACGACGCCCGTATTATTTGAACTCTGCACCGAGGCTGATGTTTGCCGTTCTTTTCTATATACAGACAGCAGATGGGTTGGGTGGCTCAACGATACTTTTGGGGGACAACCCGTCCAGATAACCTTTGAGTTCGATGGCCCCCGAGAGTTTTCAGCAGCCCATCTACACACCAGCAACCTTCTCTCCATGGACACTCAGGTAAGCATCTCTTTCATCGTGCTTCATCTTCGGGGTTGATAGGTGTGAAACTGTGGTCCAGAGGTGGTTTCGATATACGATGTCATGAAGTGTCTACAAGACAACGTGACTTCTAATCAAAAAGTCCTTAATATATTAAAAAATATTTTTTTTTGTGAACATGGTGTCATATATCAAATCGTATACATGACACAACATCTGAATATAAAATTTTCGAAATGGAATGAAACGAAATACAGAATTTTAAAAAAATGCATTATGTTAATTGTCTAAGCTGAAATCTCTCGGAAATAGAGAACTTAGGAGATCGATATTGAAATCGACCAATAACATTAAGTTTGATTGGCTCAGGATCTTGTCGGATGCCTTCATTGTTAGAGTGCCTTTAGAGTTAGGTTATTAAGTCAGGCACAGCGAATTTACTAGCCTGGTGACTTCCGAGGATCCAGTCACATCAGAACCCTGAAATATGGTGATAGAGTTTGTTCCCGAAACGTCGGTTTACTACAGTAACCAGTTAACGCGACTGATTGCCCGAGAACATTTTATTGATTGTACTGGCAGCGAAAGTCTCAAATCTTATACATTATCATCATTATTTCCTTCTTGAAAGCTTTGAAACGATAATGAAGAATTTAAAATACTAATACTCGCAAACTTCAGTCTAATGAAAAATAGGTTCCAAACTGGATACGATAAAAAGGAAGGTTTGGATACAATGCTTTGTGTTTTTCCACACAACCACCATCTTAGGCTAAGTTTAATAGATGATAACACTCGAACGTCACTTCTGGGAGTCGTGATGGATGAAGACGTACTCTCTCTCTCTCTCTCTCTCTAGATTTATTTTTTCGGACATAATTCAAAGTTTATAAAGTCTTCCCAAACTTTTTCTATTTCGCAAAAGTTTTTATGTCCTCCTACTGATGTCTCATACATAAACACTTACCGGTTTGCGTTTCCCCTCGTCCTCTGTTCCTCTGTCTCTGTTCTACGTTCCTGAACACACTTCCTAAGGTGTGCGTCAGACCTATCACACACCATTAAGCTCTTCACTTTTCGTAAATATTACGATGAAAGCAAAATATCTGGCTGATATTTTTGGCGGCTGTGAAAGGGTGAAACGGGGAGGTGTAATCTTTCTATACACTTTTCAAAGCTCCGATACAAATTGCCGTCAGACATCAGCTGAAGCAACAGCTGTGTGATGTGGATACAACGAAATATCGGTTAACTTCTGCACAATGGCTTCACATTAGCTGATATTCTTTATACACTCACAGCGGAGAAACAGCATCCACATGTACCGATCAGATTACACGCAGTAAATATTGCATCTTCTGTTTTACGTTTTCTGCGTATTCTTAATGTGGTTTTCCTTCATGTTATTTATATGAACATGAAACTTGGTTTCTCAGAAAAGGAATCTGAGAGGTTTGTACTCCAATCAGATGTTATCAGATCGAGGCATCTGTGGTGGACGGTATGTACGAGGTGCGATCGAAAGGTTTCCAGACTGCGCGTATAAAAACCCGTACACTTATCTCAGGTATTAAATTCATCCATCACCCTCGAAGTAGTTTCCCTGGGAGTGAACACAACGATCCCAGCGCCGCTGCCAAGCCTGGAAGCATCCCTGGAAATCTTTCTTTGTCAGCCTGTCAAGCACCATCTGCGATTCTGCCTGAATCTCTTCTATCGTCTCAAATCTCCTTCCCTTTAGCTGAATTTTCAATTTACCAAAACGCCCGTAACTAAGAAACAAATGCTAATTCGATGATGCCGGCTCGCACACTGATTCACTATGAATGTAGGCCGCACCCCCTAGCGGCAGAAGCTCGTACTACATCCAGTTCGCCCTCTATTGACA